TTTTTGTTGACCTTTGTCCATGGAAGGTCCCTGCAAAATTTCATTGAAATTGGTTCAGGGGTTTTGGAGAAGAAGTCGAAAATGTAAATTGTTTACGGACGCACGACGGACGACGACGGACAAAGGCGATCGCAATAGGTCACTTGAGACTTTGTCTCAGGTGACCTAAAAATGGTTAACAGGGGTATGATGACTATCAAGAGTATATTCCATATTCTGATGTTGGATTAAACAGGTTTTACTGTACTATTAATCAGACATGGCCTTCAGTTTTCGCTGGATCTATATAGCTATAGATAATATTTGTCTTTTAAATTATCTGTCAGTCCCAGGCATGATTTGACAAACTATCAGCTGTTACTTATAACTTGCTTACATTACAGCTGTTGTTTCATTAAGTCAACAGAAAAATGTCTTATAATCTGAAGAAAAAACACAATTTCCGACAAAATTATCTATCATTGTTTTCCAAGATGACTTTGGTACTGAAGCCTCAGAAGCAAGGATGTTTCTCACCACAGAAAGTCTGTATGTGAACAGCATTACCTGGGTCATCATCAGCTTCACAACACTAACAATGGTTTAACAGTATCATTACTTAATGGGGACATACAATTGAATTCCAAATTTTTTTTCGCTTCCAGGTTTTTAACAATATCCTGAAGATTAGTTTGGTTAGTAAGACATCTTCTACCAAAATGGCACCATCAGTTGAAACAAAAAATCACCATGTCACAGATCATTATCTGCTGACGAAGCAATAAGTGCAATCTTTTCGAATGATATACCGTTCTATTAATGGGGAGTTCATTAGGATAGAGACATCAATGTAGCTACCGCAGCTGGAAAAGGGTCAATATATGAGATCAGCGAGTTGTTTCAGAAAAATGTGAATAAATAAAAAGCACCCCATTAGTCATTTACTTGTGCCCACCTCTCTTCTTAGGTTTAATAAGTTAACAGGCACATGAACATGAAGAACTCAATTAAGTCTTGCTTTTTTTTCTAGTAAAACCAAAAGTACTGTATCTTGATACTAAGAAGAATCTTTAAATCCATCCATATTCAATAATTAATTATTATCCTGTTCCTTTTCATTTCAAGTAGACTTCAGACAACTAGATTTATTCACACCATTGTGGAGTCTGAATGTGAACAGCAAATTCCTTTAAATCATCACAAGTCTTTTCGTTAAAGGCAAGAATTTAAACCTCAAAACACTTTACAGGCTTGTCATTACATTTTCAATAATTAGATAATATTCTATTCCTTTTCATTTCAAGTAGACTTCAGACAACTAGATTTATTCACACCATTGTAGAGTCTGAATGTGAACAGCAAATTCCTTTAAATCATCACAAGTCTTTTCGTTAAAGGCAAGAATTTAAACCTCAAAACACTTCACAGGCTTGTCATTACATTTTAAATAATTAGATAATATTCGATTCCTTTTCATTTCAAGTAGACTTCAGACAACTTGATTTATTCACACCATTGTGGGGTCTGAATGTGAACAGCAAATTCCTTTTAATCATCACAAGTCTTTTTGCTAAAGGCAAGAATTTAAACCTCAAACCACTTTACAGGCTTGTCATTACATTTTGTATAAAGAGAGACTGTTTCATATTATCATATCCTTTTATATTAGTGTACACGCTAATTAAGACAAAAGACAATATCAGACAGCAGGAAAATCACTTGAAATTATACCAGAGTTACACCTTTTTCACTGCTTTCTCCCAAATACATATCAGATGGTTCAACTAACGGTTACTAAAATAATCTGAGTAACTAAATTTTTGATAATAACAGAAATATCTGAATGGGTGATTTTTTTTTATTTCTAGATTAAGTTTTTGTGGCAAGACTTCAGTTGCAAAGGTAATTTTTCACCATTTTGGGATCTGAATGTGAACAGCAAATTCCTCTCAATCATCACAAGTCTTTGTTGGTTTAAAAGTTAAGATACCAGTAGCTTCATAAATGTAATACATTTTTTCACTTGTATTCAGTTGATCAATCATTCTTAAAACTTCCATTTAGTCTAATGCTTGACAATACATGAGTAACCGTCTTCCAATTTTTCAGTTTCTTTGAAAACATTCATATACATTTCTAAAAAATCTTTTGTGTGAAATTTGCATCAATGAAGTTTGTCATTGTTTATTTTAATTCATTCAAAATGGTACACGTGTATGAGCAGTATACAAATTTTCTAAAAAAAAATCTAGTCAATATCCCACAAAATGTTTTGGAAAGTTTCTGTTGTTGTATATTTAGGATGAAGCTAATATTAGACCTCAGATTACTGGAAGATCACACAATGACCAGTCTGAATGTGAACAGCATACTCCAATCATTACTGATCTTAGTTTTCACCAGTATTACATGTACAAACAAAAACCGCTTGGTTTGGAAAGTAGGCTCAGAGCTGTGTAAAGTGACATTAACCATTTATGACTTAGTGTTGTCTCATATTTACAATCAATTGAAGGTAAAATAAAAATATACCTCTACGTCGAAAAGTGTCCGCCAAATCGATGGCATACAAAACATTTTAAAATACCCTAGCCCAGGTTGTGAAATTTCAAGAATCATCAGAGAAATTGTAGCTGTTTAGCCAACATCGGAGGTTGTAGGCCCATGAGTTCAGATATACACAGCTATAGTTCCAGTAAACAAGACTTAAACATATTGGTGACCCAATGCTCACTGCCTGCCATCTTACCTAACTGAGTGCATACTATTTCCTGATTTTTTCTGTCATTCTTCTTGTCCAAAAGGAATTGTACAGATCCCTGCAATAAAACCAGATGTGAAAATGTATGTAATTTTACATGCATGCATGGAAAATATGTATGATATTTGTTCATAAAATAAATACATTCCCTACGTTTCACTTCAGATTCTAAATAGTCTCTTTTTCCAGAAAATGTATTTTATCGTACTGAAACATATCCACATTGAATCATAAATAAATTCTATCTATCGGTATTGCAGATAAAGGCCAACAGAATTTTCCAACAGAAGGCAACAGAACTTAACTTTAGAGGAGGGATTTGTGAATACACCATCCCCCACCCATTTTGTTTTGTTTTATGAAATAATGTTGCTCATATATGTCAATGAAATTGATGATATACAGAAAGATTCATGTAAAACATTGGACCATGATGTACCTCTACACCAAGTAAGATATCAGGAATCGGTCAAATATGACCTGGAAATCGGTATTTCAATATATTGAGTAATCAAATTCAAGCACAAAGATTTGATGTAAAAGATATACTCCGGAAACATGTTCACGTGCGCACAGGCATTTACCTCCCATTTCATGAAGCAGAAGTATGTCAAAAACCAAACCTTTTAATGATACCCATATACAAACAGATTTAAAACATCAATACATTTCCTGAAAAGTACTGCATAGTCTAAAGGAGTTTCATTTTCGGGAAAAGTGTTTCTTCATAAACATCTGTATCCAGATTTAATCATAAACTCCATGATCAATAAAGGCTAATAAAATTGTAAAATGTGGTGTTGTTGCAATTAATCAATTTACTTGATACTCCAACTATGTCTAATCCATCATGACTTCCATGATTGATGATGATTTGACTACAATATGAAAGCTTTCAAGCTAAGAGCTATAAATGTGATTTGCAGAGACCTGATAACTGATTATACCATACATTTCATTTAAAGAACTATTACTGTTTATGACTAGGTATTTACAACACTTCCATCACATTTTATCCATTGTAGTGAACGCCTCTTGATTTATTTCTCTTTCATTCCATGATCAATCAGTGATCAACCATCGATCATTTGAGAAACAGTGATGAATGATCATTAATTTTGAAGCGATCCCAAACACCAGTAAAACAAGTTTTATCATTTTTAATATTCTCATCATTGTTCACTCAGATTTATCAAACATCTTAGAAACACATCCCTGTTGTCAGCAACAACGAACAGCATAATTTATGTAGGTAGGTAAATAGTTTAATTTCTGATCATTCTATAAAAATTACAGCAGAACACATGTTCTGATATTGGCACTGCTTGACTAGAAATATCACATATTACCTTGTACAGTAAGGATTAAAATCAAGGATAGGCAGGGTTAATGCTAATTTTGGAGGAGTTTCATTATCCGGAAAAGTGTTTCATCATAAACATCTGTCTCGAGATATAATCATAAACTCCAAAGACGAACAAAAATCAACAAATACAGTTTCAAAGGCATACAAATAATGTATCAGTGTTGGGTAATTTTGATTGCCTTTCAAATTATCTTTTATCATCTTTATGTTAAATATAAAAAGTTGCACAGAATAATAGTAAAAGTGCAATAAAAATCAACCCACCCCTTTGTATTATTGACTTATATTTTATCTCTAGATTGTCTGGCTGATGGTTACCTTTTCCTTACCATCTTACCATATCATTACATAGTTAACTTTGAATCTGCACATAGGCATTCATGGAAGTATGCATCAAATTTTTCTTCATTTTATGATAGCTAGAGACAACACCTAAAACTGAGCTGATGTCCTGATAATAAAGCGCTTCTTCAGTAAAAGTATAAAAACTTTTCTTAAATCACCAAAATATGGAAAGCAGATATGCAGATAATAACACTGTTTGTTTAAGAAATTAATATAAATGTTAAGGCAAATTTTCAAAACTCAACATTAAAATCTCCTATTTCCCTAAAATCACTTAAATCTCTCCATCTGAGGTCTACTCCCTCCCGAAATTAGGACTACTCCCTGCAAGAAAGGACTACTCCCTCATGAATATTTGTAGGCGGAGCTTATTAAAATTTCAACCAATGAAAACATTAGTAGGCGGGGCCTTCTTCGTGATGCAGGAGGCGTCACATTTTCAGAACCAAACAGTGAAAATGGCCGCTGATGAAGGCCATTTTGATAATCTTACTGAAGAGGAATTACAGCAGATTTTGGATGCTAAATGTAGCTTTAAATACAAACGCTGTTATAGAGACTGCAGTGAATTTACTTCAAACTTATTACATTCTATAAGTGTATAATAGAGTTATTTTACGCTGAGTAACTAAAGTAGAAGTATGTTCTGAACAGTTGTGTTTCAGTGTTACCTTGACAGCTTTAGGGATCTGATCAACATACTGGGGTTTAGTGACGGCTTTTAAGTCATCCTCTAAAATCTTGGTGAAGTAGTTTTGGAGTTCTGATCCTCTAAAGTAATTGAGAATCTCTGTCCAGTCTGGAGGGTCCTGTAACAAAGGGAGATAACTTATGTGATGACAGTTGGGATGCAACATACAGTTACAAAGTGATCATTTCAATGCTTTTATTCAAATGAACTTAAAAAGAAAAATCCAAATGGATCCTGACTTAAACATAATCTATCTTGAGTATAAATTATCTCCTTTTATCCCTGATACTTCTATTTCAGCTCTTCACTTCTTTCATATCTATTAAACAAATTTTACTCATTAAATTGACATCCAATGCTTAAGACATGTTCGGATGTCAACTCCTGTTTATTTGTTGATCAGGAATTTTACTTTCTCAAGAAAAGGAACATAAATGTTCTGTACAACAGAAACTGAAATGAAAATAAAGAAAAATAATAGCACTTCTGAAAAATTGAATTTTCCAGATTGTCATGGTATGGCTAGTGAGGTTCCAAGCAAACCTGAAACAGCATACTTGAATAATCTATTATCCCTATGCAATAATCAACACAATCATTTTCTCTTCAACAGTTGTTTTATGCAGCCACATTTATGAAATTTGTTGTCTGAAACAAGTTGAGTATCTAATGACTTGCATTGAATTTTCCAAGGTTTGGTTTCTGTTTTCCAGCTAGAATCTTCAGTGCTGTTGACTTGCCAATACCATTGGTTCCCACCAACCCTAGCACTTCTCCTGGTCTTGGTGTTGGTAGTCTGAAAAATAGTTCCTTGTTTAGTCCAGGGAACTAAAATAGTTTTCAAGAGTGTTGCAGTGGTGGGGGTGGGGGCAATACACATTCAATACTACTATGTCATATGCATTTTAAACATATTGGAGAATGAGACTATTACATTATGTGTTACTCTGCCCTCCAAACATACACAAGAATAGCAAGTTTGGTGAATATACGCGTAGGTGAAATGGCAAGGTAATTATACTGAGAAAAGAATTTAAGTTTAAGCAATCAACCAAAGTCAGGGTGAACAAGAATAGAGAAGATGTTTGATGAACATAGATGAAATAGCAAGGAAGTTATGCTAGAAACAAAATGTTGACAACCAGCCAGACAGTCAACACTATACCATGATCTATCCCATCATTGATTGGCATATAAGGCGAGCACAATAGTAGGAAATGTAATCAAGGATGAAATAAACAGTTATCTGTAGCTACATATAATGTAGAAATTGAGTTAGCCCAGCTGCTGTTGGTTTACCTGTGAAGTTTGAAGGAGTTTGCACTGTATCTGTGAGTGGTGTCCCTCTCCAAGTTACTGGGAAGATTAATGATGGTAATGGCTTCAAATGGACATTTCTGGAAAAGTACATAATTGTAACATATTTAGAATGTTTTACAAATATCTAAATACACTGTAGTTCTGATTTACACAAGATTTAGTTAACAGGAATTATTTTTATAATTTTCTTTGATGGCATGAAACTTACTGCAATGTCAAACCAGAGTCATAGAAGCAGAAAATATATTGAAAATGCTAAACAAACTTCAGGGTCGGCACAAAAATATAGGAAAAATAGTGTTAGCATTTATAAACATTTTTTTGTTTGTTTGGTCTGACATTAATACAGATCTAGCTATGCATGGTAGTCCTTATATTAGGAAGTCAAATGATGTATAAAAAGTTACCTTGGCACAAATACCACAACCAATGCACAGTTCTTCTGAAATGAACGCTAGCTTATCTACTGGGGTTACTTCTATACACAGCTTCCCTGTAAACAAAATGTCCAAGATATAACTGCAGCTTGAACTTGGTTGGTATACTTCCTTTGATTAGGTATCGCAGTTTGTAAGATAGACAGTTTAAGGATCTGCCTGGGGTCTAGGGTTCCAAATCCAGGTTAATGAACCTGTTGTATTTTACACCCCAGAACACACGCATATACTTGTGAATCAACATTGGTAATAAATAATAAAATTTGTGGGAGATTATATAATTACTTAAGGTAGTAGGCAAAGGCCAAAACTGTACTACACGTATGGACTGTATTCATGAATTAATAATAACATTTTTTTTATAACAATATAGTATGTCACTGGAGAAAGCTCAGTATCTGGCAATTGTGTACCAATCTCTGCTTATCTTCATGACAACATTCTCCTAGGATTTACAATAAAATAAATCATTTAAAACAGACCAGAATGAAATATAATTAATGTTAATATTATCAGTTTAATAAATAGTCAATAACACTCAATAAATACTCATATAATTTCAAAAGATTGAAATGATTTAGTAAAAGATGTATGCTAATGTCCTTGTATAAAACAGAACTCAATGCCAAATCTGAATTTCATACAGTGCAGAGTACCAGCTATACCTACCCATCCTAACTACAGGGCAGGCCTTTTTGCACTCCTGGCGACATTTTTTTGGCTTGCATTTATCAGTGCTGACAATAGCAATACGAGTAAGTCTGTCCGAGGATGAACCCCCCCGTGACATGATGCTGGTTGAAAAGCTGTTGAAAAATAAACACAAATTTCTTGAAAAACATATATGTGTATACATTAGGGCTGCAATAGTTAGAAATAATGCAAGTTGGATAACCAGGCATGCACGCTTAACCAAACCGAAACCTGGATTTTTTTTTGTGCCATGAAATACAGCCACCAATGGCCCTTTATTTTGATAAAAATATGATTACTTAATTCACTAAATGCATTATCAATGATAACTCAAAACCTGTTTCGTAGTTTTACTTTACACTCGTGTGTTGTCAATGCTATGCACACGTATTTCTGCGCATCACTTATGGTCGGAACACAGACGATAGCTGCCGTTAAATGATAAGTTACATTGTTCAGCAGAATGTTAGTTGATATTATGTCATTCAAAATGTATCTCAATGGTATGGCAAGTATACTGATCTGATATAGGGTTTTTGGAAAGGGCCCCTGAGCAGGAATTGGGGAAAATATCATCGGCATTTGCCAAAAATTGGGAAATATCATCAGTGTTCCCACATGCACAGGTTCGAGAAAATATCATAAATTTTGATAAATAAAACCTACAATGTGATCTGAAAAAGTTTTCCTCTAGCTGTTTCTTACATTGAACTGTATAGCAATAAATAAACACATCAATTTTCAGTTTTATTACTGTTAATGATGTATTTTGAATGCTCTTTCATGACATGGGCAGTTATACTTTGAACATTGCACATATAACTCGAAACTTGTATAAATATGCTCTTTTTTTTTTTTATCTAATTGGGAAAATAAAGACTGAAATTGGGAAAATACAGGGCCATTTTTCAGTTGGGAATGGGTCCCTGTACCGAACCCTATAAACACCTGGCAAAAATCCTGGATCATGAGTGTTTTCAATGTCTGTCAAACAGTCAGGAGCGACATTTCTGACCGGGAAAAACAATTAATATTGACCTACATTTTGGAACGTTTTTCGGGAATATAGATTTGCTAACCGTATAGTACTTGTAACCAAATTGAACCCATGTACTCGGTTACCCATTCCAGCCCTAGTATACATACGTGTATATCAATTTTATATAGTATACTAAATTTTACAAGAGTCCTGTCAAATGAATGAACATTTATTTATTTACTATATTTAGGGTTAATAATCGGAAACATTTATTGAAGTGTTTTGTTGGTCAAGGTAATTGTAAAAAAATATTTAATTATTTAAACAATTTACCATAAAATACAAAATTCGACTTGCAGAATCTGAAGCAAATGATAATTTGACATGTTGTCAGATTTATGTATAAAAAAAAAGAAAATTCTTTCAATGTCAATATATTTTGAGATACATGTATCAATATACATATTGTCGTTTCCTGGAAATTTAGGCTTCAGTTCCGAGATATTCAATATTTTTATTATACGTTACAGTAAGCATTTACCAAAAAGTTGTTAGATACATCAGTCATCATACTTTAAAAAATCCAACACTTCGACTTTCTGTACCCAGCACTTGATATGCTTTTTTATATTCTTTGTCGATAAATATTAACTAAACATATGCAGAGTCAGAAAATACCTGTTATGTCAGTTTTAAAACCCAACAATTACCATATGTTCATTATTTATAAAATACGACCGAAACCGGTGAAATATAATTTATAAACTTATTATAAAACATATCTGTAATATTGATATCGACTCAGGATAAGTCGATACCACATTTAAAGTCATCCGTTAAAATCCGAATACTCGAGTATAAAGCTTCTATTTCTGGCCTTAATCTTCACCAAGCCAGTCTACACGTAATCCGACTGTGGAGATCATTTGACATACGAAAAAGATATAAAATATAGCTTTGCTTATTATTTAGGGAAGTAGAAAAGAATGTTAATCAACTGTTTGAACACACAACCTACCAGATCTCAAATATTCAATTTAGTTTACTGGTCTGATTTGTATACGTCCTACGTAGTTTTGCTTTCCCACCGTCGTGGCTGGATTGGTGGGAAAAAATGGCCGCCTCCAGAAGGAAGCATGCTGCTGGCGTAATATTTGGTCTAGGTATCGGAGACGCTTACCTAACATTTTATTGCACTTCGACAGGAAATTAAGTATCAAATATTATGTGTTTTATCTGAAAATATGAATATTGTGATAACTTTTGATTAATCTAAGTACCAAAAGGCAAATTTATTGGATTAAATTAGCATATCTAAAGTTCTTTTTCAAACACACAAAAGACGCTGATGAATATCGGAAACACAACAAGGTCAGATAACTCTGCTTTGAAAGACTATTGCAGCAGCAATAGAAATCACTCTGGCCAGAGACGTATGCTTTATATATGTCTCTGCTCAGGCTATTTTACATCTTTATTGCAATTATTGAATTCTTGAAAAATAAGATTGTAGAAATATTTCTATATTTAAATCTGACGAATGTCTTGTCAGGAAAAGATCAATGGTAACTCAGCCTTTAATAGTTTGAACAGAGACGTCTGCTTTGAAGTAGAACTTTACTAGATTATAGGACAGATACACAGATTTTCGTTTGACTTCAGTGTAGGACTTACACAATGCTCTGCTGTCAGCTCAATATGGTTTGAACAAATTTTGACAAGATCATGGATATACAATAAATTATATTTGTGGTTATTTGAAAAAACATTAGAATAGTTACAGTTTTCACAAAATTAATTTGATAATTAATTATTTAACTAGGGTGGATACTGATATTGTTTTTCCATAATTATAGAGTATCGGTTGGTTTCTCCAGTGATGATCTAGGCAAGACTCCAAAGATCTAATAGTTCTTGATGACTTAATCTCAGGTGACAGGCTTTTTCCAGATGTCAAAAGTTCTGTGACAAAATGAATTCTTTCTCGTGTTTAGACGTATTCTATCCTTAAATAGTTCATATACTCATGACCCAAATGTCATTTTTTGTGACATGAACTAAGACACTTCGGGATCATAATTCCATGTCATGATTTTGAAAAGTTCTATCATGTCTCCTCTGTAACGTCTGCAATATATAGGTCAACTACTGTATATCTTTTTTCGTTCGCGGTACGGAAGTTCCTTACCATCTTTTAAGTTGTACATGAAATTAATGCTATCGTTTTTCCCATCATCATGGCTTTGCCCGGATGGAAGTGGAGTAGCCACTTGTTAATTTATTCTATGTCTGGGCCTTTAGCAAATCTTCATGTAGAGCCTCGCAGTCCTGATTATTCGACATTGCCCGGTAAAATATCGTATTGTCAGCGAAAAGGCATATTCTTGTTTCTATGCTTATCATTTCCGGTTGGTTGTTATTATAAAGCATAAATAGGATTAGTCCTAGAACAGATCCATGTGGAATGCCACTGCTTACATCTTTCCGAACTGACGTATCTCCATTGACCGTTATTCGTTGTTTCCAGTTGTGAAGCAAAGCATTGATCTACCTGGTAGTATGTCCCGTCAATCCATACATACTCATTTTATGGACGAGTCTGCGATGAGGGGCTTTATCAAAAGCCTTCATGAAACAGCAATAAAGCACATCAACACATTTTCCCTCGTCAATAACTTCTATCCACTCATCAATCACTTGTATAAGGTGTAGTACGGTGGATCTTCCTTCGTCAAGACTTTACATCCACTCATCAATCACTTGTATAAGGTGTAGTACGATGGATCTTCCCTCGTCAAGACTTTACATCAATTCTTCAATCACTTGTATAAGGTGTAGTACGGTGGATCTTCCTTCGTCAAGACTTTACATCCACTCATCAATCACTTGTTTAAGGTGTAGTACGGTGGATCTTCCTTCGTCAAGACTTTACATCCACTCGTCAATCACTTGTATAAGGTGTAGTACGATGGATCTTCCCTCGTCAAGACTTTACATCCATTCATCAATCACTTGTATAAGGTGTAGTACGGTGGATCTTCCCTCGTCAAGACTTTACATCCATTCATCAATCACTTGTATAAGGTGTAGTACGGTGGATCTTCCCTCGTCAAGACTTTACATCCATTCATCAATCACTTGTATAAGGTGTAGTACGGTGGATCTTCCCTCGTCAAGACTTTACATCCATTCATCAATCACTTGTATAAGGTGTAGTACGGTGGATCTTCCCTCGTCAAGACTTTACATCCATTCATCAATCACTTGTATAAGGTGTAGTACGGTGGATCTTCCCTCGTCAAGACTTTACATCCATTCATCAATCACTTGTATAAGGTGTAGTACGGTGGATCTTCCCTCGTCAAGACTTTACATCCATTCATCAATCACTTGTATAAGGTGTAGTACGGTGGATCTTCCCTCGTCAAGACTTTACATCCATTCATCAATCACTTGTATAAGGTGTAGTACGGTGGATCTTCCCTCGTCAAGACTTTACATCCATTCATCAATCACTTGTATAAGGTGTAGTACGGTGGATCTTCCCTCGTCAAGACTTTACATCCATTCATCAATCACTTGTATAAGGTGTAGTACGGTGGATCTTCCCTCGTCAAGACTTTACATCCATTCATCAATCACTTGTATAAGGTGTAGTACGGTGGATCTTCCCTCGTCAAGACTTTACATCCATTCATCAATCACTTGTATAAGGTGTAGTACGGTGGATCTTCCCTCGTCAAGACTTTACATCCATTCATCAATCACTTGTATAAGGTGTAGTACGGTGGATCTTCCCTCGTCAAGACTTTACATCCATTCATCAATCACTTGTATAAGGTGTAGTACGGTGGATCTTCCCTCGTCAAGACTTTACATCCATTCATCAATCACTTGTATAAGGTGTAGTACGGTGGATCTTCCCTCGTCAAGACTTTACATCCATTCATCAATCACTTGTATAAGGTGTAGTACGGTGGATCTTCCCTCGTCAAGACTTTACATCCATTCATCAATCACTTGTATAAGGTGTAGTACGGTGGATCTTCCCTCGTCAAGACTTTACATCCATTCATCAATCACTTGTATAAGGTGTAGTACGGTGGATCTTCCCTCGTCAAGACTTTACATCCATTCATCAATCACTTGTATAAGGTGTAGTACGGTGGATCTTCCCTCGTCAAGACTTTACATCCATTCATCAATCACTTGTATAAGGTGTAGTACGGTGGATCTTCCCTCGTCAAGACTTTACATCCATTCATCAATCACTTGTATAAGGTGTAGTACGGTGGATCTTCCCTCGTCAAGACTTTACATCCATTCATCAATCACTTGTATAAGGTGTAGTACGGTGGATCTTCCCTCGTCAAGACTTTACATCCATTCATCAATCACTTGTATAAGGTGTAGTACGGTGGATCTTCCCTCGTCAAGACTTTACATCCATTCATCAATCACTTGTATAAGGTGTAGTACGGTGGATCTTCCCTCGTCAAGACTTTACATCCATTCATCAATCACTTGTATAAGGTGTAGTACGGTGGATCTTCCCTCGTCAAGACTTTACATCCATTCATCAATCACTTGTATAAGGTGTAGTGCGGCGGATCTTCCCTCGTCAAGACTTTACATCCACTCATCAATCACTTGTATAAGGTGTAGTGCGGTGGATCTTCCTTGGATGAATCCAAATTGTTTATTACTGAAGAGTTTGTTATTTTGCATTGTTTCCAATACTTTACAGCAAATACATGTTAGGCTTATAGGTCTATAGTTGCTTGCTGATTTGCGGTCTCCTTTGTATTATTTGTTTGCCCTCGGGTACTGACCCTGGTGTTATATATATATTATGATTGATAACAGTTGGCTTGTGACGGAACTTTTAATATACGCAGGTGAATATTATCTGGGCCTGAGGATTTCGACGTTTAAAGCTTCTTCGGGGTTTTAAAAACAGTACGTAATACGGTCCACACTGGGCATGTCATCCTCCGATTCTTTTGTAAAACCAGGACCTCTGCCTTTTCTTTGTCACTTTTTGAGACTTGGTCCTCGTGACTAGTGTACAAGTCCGATACATTAGTTCTTGTTTTGGTTTTAGACTGAACATAATTCCAAGTTTTTTTGTGGATTCGATTTCCCTTCTTGGGCGATTTTCTTTTTGTGTGCATTTGTTGCTTTCCTGTATAATCTCCTTCAGACCTGGTTGCGTACCTGGCAATAATCCTGGTACGTTTCATCGCTGATTGTTTTTCGAAATCTTGTCCATAGACGCTGTTTCCGATTAATTTTAGCTGGGTGAATGATTCTATTATTCTCTTACCCTGGACAGGTGTATACGCACTTTTACCGGTGTGAGATTTCCTTGTCTCACCCTAGGGTTGAGACGGGGGGATTCCCCTATTCATAACAATGGTATGACGTCACTTCAACAATACAATGACGTCACGTCAACAATCCATATACAGGCAATTTGTTGATGGATTGTTGACGTGATATCATTGTATTGTTGAAGTGACGTCATGTCATTGTTATGAATAGGGGAATCCCCTCGTCTCAACCCTAGGGCGGAGACAGATAAATCTAGCACCGACAAAACGGGAGATAAATCTGTCAGGTGTTGGAGAAAAGGTAATTCAAACCCAAGGTATATAATATTGAGCAGGAGCCCCGAGGCTTTGCCGAGGGTCTTTTGCTCAATATTTTATCCCGAGGGTTTGAATTATCTTGTCCTCACCCGACATCAGGGATGGATTTTATTTCTTGCTTATAACCTAAAACCCGTGAAAACAGCTGCACTTCTAGTAAAGTTGTAAACTGTCAGCGCCTTTGCACGGATGACAATTGTTATTGTTACACCTCAAGTGAATTTCTAGCTATTTGATTGGTCGGGAGAAAATTAAACAAAAATCTCTGTCACCCTCCGAAAATACATTGGTTTTAAGGGGTGCGGGTGATATTGCCATGAGACAGTGAAAAATATCACATGCGCGAAAAATATGCGTTCACCGCTTCGTTTCCCCACCGTGATGGCACAAGAACGTTTGACGGCAACAGCCAATTTTATCAAGCGCCGATGCGATAGTGATTGTAAACAGCAGACTATCAACAAACAAGATGTCATTATCGAGGT